CCTCTTACCGGCGGGCAGCGGGAAGGCGGACGCGGGGTGGAGCAGCACCAGGCAGACAGCCACGACATCCCATAACTTCATCTTAGAGTCCCGTCCGGCGGCGGCACCTGCGCGGGCGGCGGGAGAACCGCAGAGTGCACGTTAGGCCTGCGCGCCGCACCCCGCGGGTCCCCGGGCGTCCCCCGCCCGCTGCACGTCCCCGGAGCTCCCCACGAACACCTCGCACTTCCCGTGCCGCCCCCAGCTGCCCTTCTCTTCCTCCGCCACCGCCAGGAGGATGAATTTTGAGCAGGGCTGCTGCTCCCGCCGGTAACCCCCCAACACAACGACACCGGGATTACTGTCCAGTCCCTTCTCCTGGCGCAAAACGTTCCCCCATTCTCCGGGGGGCAACAGAGCAGCCCCCCCAGCTGCGTCCTCTGCCCCAGCCACAGACCTGCCCTCCCCGCCCGGCAGGTCCCACGGGCCTGGGAAGCAGCCCCCGGCCCCAGAAGTGACCGCCCTTTCTCTTTGGGGATAAAATGAGCGCACCCCTCCCTGCCTCGGTCCCGATCCTGCTCGCGGATAGGCGGGGGCAGGCGCGGTGGCACCACTCAACCCGCCCGCCGCCCACACTTGGTTCTTCCCACCTCAGTAGGTATTTTGTTATTTGAATCTGGAGTTAGTAGGGAACTTGGAGACTTGTGGCCTGTATGGGAGTATCTGGGTTACGTTACTTAACTCCTGAAGCATCAACTCCGCTTAAAATACTAGCTCCTCCTCAAGGTTACGAACATTAAATGACGCATGAAAAGGTGCAGCGGAGCACCAAGGAAGCGCCCAGTAAATGCTTTACCAAGGCCGTCAGGCAGGGATCGCATTTGTCTTGAAAATTTTAATCCTCGTGGTATACCTGAAAACCCTCTTTTGCTTTTATTTTTGCAGCTTTGTGAGATTCTGTCCCTAATTCCTTCCCAGAGGAATTAATTCCCGGAGGAGTCGCTAGCTCCCCGCGCCCCTGTCACGCCTGGACGATTGCACCCGGCCCCTGACGCTTTGGGGGCGCTGGAGCCCGGAAGTCCTAGACCTTGAGACGGCGCGGGTGGGGTCTCAGCCCTTCTCAGCGAGGGGGCTCCATTTGGCTTTTCAGGCCTCACACCCCGAGAAAGGAGGTCGCGCAGTCGGAGGTGAGCGAGGAAAAGGCACTGTCAACCCAGGGCCAAGTCCCACTCAATTAGGGAGTAGGCAGGGACCGAGGCACCTTAGCGTGCGGTGTTACCCGGTCCCCTCCTAATTCCAGTGTTCCACTCTCCAGAGAACCTAGTGACTGCAGAGAATTCTCACTCGGAAACTACGAGATTGATGCCCGTCCCGGCTCCCGGTGCAGGCCACCCGGGGAAGCGTTCAATTCGCCCGCTACCTCCCACGGCTGCGGGGACGAATACATTTTCCATCCCTTGGGCGTCTGTTTGCTATGCAGCTGCTGGGCTAGGGGAATGTGTAGGGACTAGGAACTCCGAGCGACCTGCAGCACCAAGCGCTTCACGCGCGGGCTGGTTTGCAAACCCGGGAAAAAGCAATGGCTCTGGGTAAAACTGCACCAGGCCGTGCAAAATAAGAGCGGAGAGGCTCTTTGGCAGCTGGGACCGGGAAACGCGAGGCCTCCCGTCCCCTCGGTGCCAGCTCCCGGTGCGTGCGAAATGGCTGGCGGTCAGCAGAAGCAGGGAGGCACGGGGTTCACGCGCCATTCCCAATGGCAGTGCCCACCAGCAGGAAGGGACAGAGGCACCAGATTTCCCTTCCGCATTAAGAGGGTTTCTCCCCTTCTGCTTGGCCGACCGAAGGCTTTTGAAATTGGACGTGGAGATCTCAATTAGAAGTGTGGTGAAGCTGGCAAAAGAGGACACAGTGGAAAACTCCCCGCCTCTCCAGAGGAGGCTCCCGGCTCCGGTCCCCGCCCTCGGCTGGGTGCCGCAAGCGCCCCCAAAGAGCTCCCCCTTCTCCCCGGGAGGGACGGGGAGGGCGCATTCTTCCCTCCGAGCGCCGCCGGGGCCGGCTCCAGTCCGAGCGGCTCTTCAGCTCCCGGTATTTGCTGGGCGGGGAAGGGGGGGCCGGGGACTCGGCGCACACAGCGGTCTACTAGGACGTCGTTCTCAGAGTCCATCTGAACCCCACCCCGCGGATTCCTTGTTTGTCTCTTTGTCGCTTTCCCCAAACACATCTACATCTGCCCGGCATGTTTTCCCCGCAGCCACCGGCCTTTGCTACACGTGCGAATTGCTTGACGCGCTTCCACGCGCGGGAACCTAATTCTCCTTTGGAAGTTGGCTCGGCCAGGTGACCCAGGCTAGTCTCCCCTCTGGGTTCGGGACCAACGCGCCCCGGCAAGGCCAAAGGTGGGTCCCCAGGCCTGGGGCGGAAAGGACGCCCAGGAACGCGGGAGGAGTGTCGCAGAAGCCGCCGCCTGCCGCGGGGAGCTTCTGAGTTCCCGGCACCAGAGGGCACCAGAAACCGCCCGCGTCCTGCAGCGCCCAAGCGGCCCGGAGGCCGCGTTGTCATTTTAAGTGTAAGACCGGAGAGCAACCGCTCGCTCTACCATCCTCCCTAGATCCGAATTAATCCGGGGACCTGTGAGTGTCCTCACAGGCATCCTCCTTTTCACGCTCCTACCCCTTCCTTCTCTCCCTAGTTTTCTTCTTCCCACTTCACCTGAGCTGGTTTCTTGGCAACCGTCTTTTGACCCTCCCCCATTCCCCGCGTCACAGTGACAGCTTCGCGGAGAGTGAGCGCTGTCGCTGTCAGTGCCCCCGCACCTTCCCGTGCCTGGCAGGCTGGGACGTTTGTTTGGGCTTTGCCTTCAAGATCCAGGTCTCAGGGAGAGAAAAAGGCGGTGGGGCGGGGCGACGGGTTTGCCATAAACTCGGGGTCTTCTTCTGGGGTCGGGACAGAGAGTGCTGAAAGATCCATTGCTTTTCTTAACTGCCTTGTGTCCTTGATTGATGGAGGAATTATTTCCCCTTACCCCCTCCCCCCAGTTGCGGGACCCGACACACGGGAAAGAAGAAGAATGCGGGACACTGCTCGTAGGCAAGCTGGAGAGGGGCTCTGTCAAAGGGCCCGAGGGCAGGTTCCAGGTCCGGAAGTTCCCGAATCTCTTGCGGGAGTGGGCTAGGGACGCGGCAGGCTTCCCGGACACCCGACACTTGTCACTTGTTGAAAAGGCGGCACCTTTCCCGCCCAAGAGAAGGCGCAGCGAAACAGTGAGGGCATGGTGGAAGCCCCGCGGCTTTGCAGGAGGGGATGCATGCGTGTGTTTGGAAACATCTCTTCCTTGAAATACTTAAGTTTTCAAAATACTGAGCAAGAGTGGAGCGCGCTCTCACAACCGCGGCAGGGGCTGGGGGAGTTGTGTTTGTCCCTGCCAATGAGCAAAAACGTTGCGAGCTCGGGGCTGGGCAACCCCCGGGGGCGCGCACGTCGGCTCTGCAGGCGGATCGTGCCACAGCCCAAACTAGCGAGGCGCCACGAGGCTGGCTGCCGGCAACCCGCGAAGGTCCATTCCCGGCCCCGAGGAGGGTTTCTTTTCACCGGGTGGGGCTCGAAACCAAGCCATCGCGGAATCAGTCCCGAGGTGGCTGAAGGTAGTGGTGGGGAGCATTATTGGGGAGGAGACACAGAGTGCAGGAGAAGAGAAGTCATTAAAATAATCATCTCGATGGCCTAACGGAGACCTTGAGGAGCCCCGAGTCTGTTCGAGATGGAGAATACCAAGGGAGCCCCTCTCCTAACCTCGACGGGAATGGTTGGTTAATTGAGGTTGAGGGCATTAGGAAAGTGCCAGCAACCGGATTCCGAAAAGGGGAGGCACGCAGCTTTGCACGACGGCACGCGGAGGAGGTGAGCCCTCTATTTTTAGGCTCTAGGTACCTCTGCAGCAGTCCCTCCCCCGGCCTGCTCTTTCCCTTGGAACAGACCAAAACAAGCTTAACAGTAAGTTATGCTGTTGGCAATGGTAATGTCTTTACAGCTGCACGTCCGGAGAAGGCACTCTCTGGCGGCGGTGGGTTCGAAGATGACCCAAGCCCCGCACGGTTCGGGGACTTGACAGAGGAAGCCTCACCAAATGGGTGAGGAAACTGCCCCTCTCTGCCATGCCGGAGTCCAGGCGCGCCCCTCCTCAAGGCCAACATCTCCTGCGTTCAACTTCTCCCTCTGTCCTCCTGCAGCTTCGGCTTCCTCTAGTCTTTCCACTTTCCATCTCACCGCCTGCTCTGGGGCACAGCCGCGCCTGCTGGCGACGCAGGCGCCACCCGCCCCCTCCACCCCAGCCCGCTCCCCCACTTACCTCGGATCCGGTCTCCGCAGACCCCCAGTTGGACATTAACTCCAGGTGCCCGGAGTCCCAGCCAGGAGACCCATCCGGGCCGAGGGCAGGAGCACAGAGCCCCGCCCAACTGGACAGGGGCTAGAGTTCGCAATCCTGGGGTCGCGCGGGGCAGCAAGGGCGCGCAGAAGGTGGCGGCCAAGGTTCCCGTAGCCGCCACGGCAAGAAGCGCGAGGGCTGCCGACAACTCTCCCGCCGTTCCCCAGCACCTCCAGAAGCCGAAGTCCGAGCAGCCGCCGCCGCCTTGGGTGGGGGGTGACACGGCTGCGCGCGCCGCGCTCTTGGCTGGGGCTGCACCGGCCCGGGGCGCTGCGAGAGGTTCAGCGGCGGCCGCCGTGCTCTGTGCCTCCTCGGGGCGCGGTGTCTGGAAGCACGAGATGGGCCTGTCTGATGCTGCCGCGGGAGCTGAGGTCTTGCCTGGAGATCCGAACGAGACACCACGTCAACCGGCGCGGGGAGTTCGGTGAAGACATGAGGGCGCCAGGAGCTCAGGCTGGTCGTCGAGAGCCCGGGCCGGGGGGCCGGGGTG